AGATTCCTCACGTCCCATGACATGACCTGGATGGATGCCCCGAGCTTGCATCCCCCTCATTGTAGTCAGGGCCAATCCGACATTCAACTCAGGAACTCCCTGGGAGGCCAGAGCAGTTATACCCCACCTGGAGCTGACGGAGGGGAGCTGAGACGTCCACCTCAGGAACAAGCGCACTCCTCACACCCACCCAGGCAGGGGGCTGAGGGCTGTGCCACGCTGGCACCATGCAGGCACCCCGAGGCTCAGGGATCCACCAGCCGGGTGCAGCCCAGCCGGCCCCTGGGGAGGTGGACACTCACGCCATGCGGGCAGGGCCAGGCGCTGCTGGATGCCACAGATCTCCTTCACCCAGGAGTTCTTGATGATAACTGTCCGTGCCTGCAGCAGATACTTGCGCACTGAGTCCTCTCGCTCGTGCCACACCTCAAAGGCGCGGTCGTCCCCTTCCACCTGATCATTCAGGTCGATGCTGCTCAGCTGTGGACAGGGCAGGGCATCAGCAGGGGAGTGAGGGCTGACCATCCCCCGGACAGACACGAGACCCGGGGGCCATGCCCAGGCCACCCTGAAACCGGGGCTTCAGGACAGGCTGCTGGCACCTGCCCAGAGATGCAGAGACATGGAGGTCTCTACCCACCCCACAGCACCCTAGCAAACCCCCACCCGCCGGTGCCCTCAGACCTTCATCATGTTCCGGAACACATAGCTGAAGGTGTCAGTGCGAGAGTCTCGCCGGGGCTTGCAGATCACCAAGTGGTTGCGGAAGAGGAAGACGTGGCGGTTGTGGCCCTTCCAGGGCATCCGGGCCCCCGGAGCTCCCTCCCATACGATAAAGTGGCCCTGGGGGTGTGGGTAGGCTTCGGTCAGCCTGTAGTTGGCCTGACTGACCCAGGGCTGCAGACACCAGAGCTGTCTCTATGTCAAACACTCAGCCAAAGTCATGCACTGCCCCCAGCACTTGACAGCCCAGACACAAGCCCCCCACTACACTGTAGTCCCATTCACACCCCCATCCCAACCTGGCGGATGGGCTCGCCCAGGGCCTCCAGGGTGCCCGGGTAGTTCTCCATGAGCGACACATGCAGCTTGTTCTCGGCACGTGGGGACAGGGCTGACACCACAGCGTAGGCTTGCTCCAGCAGCGCACAGTTCTGCCGGTTCCGAGCCTTGTTGCGGATCAGCTCCTGCAGAGGGGAGGGGGACAAGGATAAGGGCTCTGGACTGCACCACAGCCCAGACCCCCACGAGGCCCAGTATGGGTGGGTGGGGGGCCTGCCCACCTTCAGCAGGGTCTGGTACCGCTGCACCTGCTCCACTGGCTGCTCCAGATAGTGCTGCAGCGGCAGTGGGAGCGGCTGCAAGGGATCTCCACCTGACAGCACCTCCTCCGCGTATTTCTGTGGGAACCACAAGGGTGGGTTTCAGGACAGAAGTGCACGGCCCCCTGCTGGCTGGAGTCATCCTGAGAGCTGAAGAGGGGTCCCAGGGGTGCTCACACACAGCCCTGCAACCCAATAGTGGGTGGCATCACTATCTGACAAGTAGCAAGCACAGGGCTCGGGCACCATAACCCTTCTGCCCAGAAGCAGAATTGAAAGGGGCTCTGCCTGCATTTCTCACTGATCCAGAGCCTGAGGGGTCCCTGGGCAGGCTATGGGGTGGAGGGGAGAGTGAGGGAAGATGAGCCCAGGCTGACAGTGTGGGATGGCCAGCTGAGTGGGGCAAGGACCACAGGCCCATGAAACTCAGGCAGGGGGCACCTTGTAGAACTCCTGCACAGCCGTGCTGACGACCACCGACTCAGCCTGCACTCGGCCCACCAGGAACTCGAGGTACTTCTCAAAGGCTACCTGGTTCTTGATGAAGCACATGGCCACGTCGTCATCCGTGTCACAGTGCTGCAGCTCCTGCAGGAAGCTGCCATGGAGGGGAACAGCAGGCAGGGTGGGGACGATGTCAGGACCCCAGCCCATGACCCATGACCCAGCACTGAGTCCTCACCTTTGGCAGAAAACAGGTTCCTGTGGGTATAAGAGTGAGTGTGCCCAGCTGTGTGTGCAGGCATATGTGTGGGCATGCAAGGAAGTGGGTGCACATGCATGCGTCTGTGTGAGTACACGAGTATTAATGTGTGAATGTGTATGTGGGCATGCAAGTGTGGGGATGGGGGTGGGCCTGTGCATGTATGTGTGCACATGGGGGTGCACAGACATGCAGGAGTGCGTGTGCACGTGTGTGCACAGGTATGTGTGTACATGAGTGTGCACGTGTGTGCAGGAGTGCATATGCACATGCATGTGTGTAGCATTGTATTGTGTGCACATGCACATGTGTACATGTGCTTTGTGTGACGTGTGCATGTACATGGGCATGCATGTGTGCGGATGTGTGCATGTGAGTGCACACGTGTGCTTGTATGCCTTGGGCAGGTGTGCAATAGTATAGGTATACAGAGATGTGCATATGTGTGTGCACGCAGGTATGCAGTGCACACTACATGCATGCGCATGTGTACACAGATGTACATGTGTGTGTGGGTGTGCATATATACTATACTGCATACAAATACACGTGTACACAGATGTGCATGTGTATGCAAGTGTGCACATGTACACACGTGCCAAACACATGGGTGTATGTGGTATGAAGGCTGCACGTGTACACACATATGTTCATGTGCAGGTGTGCACATGTGTGTGAGGGTGTGGGCCTGTGTGTACACACACACACTCATCAGTGGCAGGTATGCTGCAGGCCTTCTCATGGGTAAGCCAGGTCCCCTGGGGGCATATCCACAGATGCGATGCACCAATGGGTAAATCAAGTCAGCACAGGTTCTCTTCTTCCTTGGCTCCTGCCCACTCCCCACGCCCTGTAGCCGGTACACACATGTACGTGTGTGTGTGTGAGTGTGTGTGTGTGTGTGTGCAGCCCCACCCACCCACCTGCTGTGGAAGCGGCTGATGTCCTCCACGTTGCGGAAGATGACAGCCTTCTGGCTGGCCACGGCGGTGGGCACACGCGGGCAGTGTTCCAGGTGCTGCATATGATGGCTCTGCAGGAACTGCAGCTTGTCCACGAAGGCCTGCTCAGAGCTCAGCAGCTCCTGGATGATGGAGCTGGGTGGGAGGAGGCAGCCATGAGGGGCGACCCAGGAGCTCCAGCTGCTGGTCCCTGCTCCCGCCCCTGCACAGGGACCCAGGACCGTGTGGCTGTGGCCGAGAGTTTCCCCCCTCTGTGGCCTCTGTTCTT